GGGCGGCTCGCCGGCGGGGAGGAGGAGGGGGCCTGGGTCCGGATGGAGACGGTGGACGCCGACGTTGCAGGCGCACGGGCGGGGACAGCCACCGCGACTGACTGTTGACATTCCGTCCACGTCGAGGAGTAAGTCTGGGCGCCAGCGTCACAGGTCAGTGGGTCCGGGGCTGGGCGTGAATTCCATAGTCAGCCTGGATCTGGACGTGAGTCCTGGGTGTGACTGAATGTGGGATTGAGGTGTATGTTGTGAGTGTAAATGCGTGTGTTTGCAAAGAGAAACCCAGAGCGTATGGAGGTGTACGAGCTCCGTGCTGCGATTCCACTGAGCAATTCAGCGTGATGGGTTATGTTTGGGAGGTGGGGTGGCTGTCCTCAGAAATCCATGCGGGTGGGGCACTGCGCACACACATCATGTACAGGAGTGTGTGCCTGAGCGCGATGTTGCTCAGTCCCTGTCAAAGTCTCTGGCTGGAGAGGCTGACCGAGGCGGAGGTCAGAGGTGGGGTGTTTACAGGTGGTGGTGAAGGAAAAAGCCAGGAATCTCAAGAGGACCCTGTAGCCTTGCTAGCTTGGTCTGTTTTTATCTGAAAGGTTATAAACTCCACCCCATCCTCACTCCAACCTGTGCATGTGGCAGGAGGGGAGCTAGGATGGTGGGGTGCTGGCTGAGAGACCTTCATGGACTTTGGGACAGGGCCAACCTCTAGGTTGATGCTCAATTCTGGAGGGCCTGAGTGGGTGCATGTGGGTGAGCCAGCCCGGGGTGGGGGTCCAGCGCAGGTGTGTTCAGAGGACCTCAGGACTGAATAGAATCCATTTGGCTTTGCTACCACCAGACACCGTGTGTCAGGACCTGGGAGCTGGTTGGGGGGACATCCTTCTTTTTCCTCATCTGTTTTCTATAGCTCCCTCTGCACCCTTCTTAACAAACTGAAGGACATTTACATGCAAGTGGGGTTTGGGCTCTGAATGCTGGGATCTGCCTCTGAGTGGCCCCCATCAGAGCAGCCTCCACAGGGAATAATAGGGTTGTCCTGGGCTGGGTGCCAGGGCTCTCTGGTTCTTTTTATGCTTTGACCCTGGGGCCGCCCCTTAAGCCTTGCAGGCCTCAGTTTCCCATGGAGAGGGGAGAAGGCACCCCTCCCCCATTCTTCCTGCTGCAGAGTGAGGAGTAAACAGAAAGTTCACACAGCTAATGGGGCCTGAGGTCCCAAGAAGTGATTATCCTAAGAAAGTCCCAGCACATCTTTGCAACTTGGGCACTAGTCTGGGGAGGCTCTGCCCTCTCCTCCAAGCGGGTGTGTTGGGATTTCTGAGTCCAGGGGTGGGGCAGGGTAGATGTCTGCTAGATCTGGCCACTCAGGCTTCAAAAAGCTACTTCAGGTCCCCTGCGTCTTCCAAGATGTTGAGGACTGGGACTGGGGTGGGGCTTGGGGGTTCAGGATGGGGATGGGATGGGGACTAGAGCTGAAGAGCCACAGAAGTGTCTGGGCAGAGGCAGATGCTAAATTTGGGTAGGGCCAGAGCACATCTAGCTGGGACTGCCACTCAGCCCAGGGTGTTGTGGCAGTTTTGGTGCAAGGTGGCTTCAGTTCCAGAGAGGATGACCTTTGTACTTCAGGCACCCTCCCTCTTTCTCATAACTCTGTCTAGATCAAGGTTGCTGAGCCATAGTGATTCAGAATGACTTGAACCTTGAGGGAAAGGGACCCTGGCATAGATGGTGGTGGCAGCAGCATAGCATAGTAGCTAAGCATAAAAGCTCTGTTGTCGCTCAGACCTGGGTCGGAATCTCAGCTCTGCCTCCCACTTGTTGTGTCTCCATCTGTGTCCCCCCAAAGCAGAACCTGAGCGATTTACTTGGGAAATGGTCTCAGGGAACACGGGTGGGGGGCAGGAGGTATAAAAGAGAGAAAGAGACAGCAGCATAAGGAAGCATTATTTTTATTATTACCTCTACTATGTCCTGAGCAGATCTCCTGTTGAGCTTATGGAATGCATTTTAAAACTACCCTGTCTGAGAGAAAAACAAGGGAGCATTTATCCATCGGCTCTGTCCTCTACTGGAGAAGGACCTCTTTGAACATCAATTCCCATGAGATTCCAAGTGCACATGTGTGAGGCCCAAGTAGGTTCCTGTGGGCATCCCACATTGTAGCTTCAAAGGAGGCCTGGCATGGCCCTAGATGAAGCTTTGCCATGTGGCACTGTAAGCTGTTTCTAGAGGCCTACAGGGAACTAACAGGTCGTTGCAGAAGTGGCTGGAGCAAAAAGTGGGGCTGAGAGGATTAGAAGTGGCACACTGAGGTGCCCAACACACTGCATGACTTTGGGCACATTACCTAACTTCTCTGAGCCTTGGTTTCCTTATCTGTGAGTTGTGAGTGTTAAATAAGATATTTTTTAAATTTTTGTGCATGGTGAGGGATCCATAGCAAGGGCTCCACAAATGGAATATCTCTGTATGTTTGAGAAGACAGCATATTCTTGATGGCTCAGACATTCATTCACTCAAACAGAGGAGGAAGCTGGGTAAGGTGACCTCTAAAGACCCCCTCGTAGTTGTAAAGTCTGAGGCTCCAGGGCCAAACACCTGACTTAGTCAGTCCCTCCCAGAACTGTGGCCTAGTCTCCCAGACTCCCTAAAAGGTTCTGTTTTCTGATTTGGAGCCAGCAGTGCCATGCCCCGGGGTCAGCTGCTCAGATGTGCCTCTTGCTGGGATCTGTCTTCAGGAGAACATGAGAGCCTGGCAGTGAGCAGAGGCGACAAGCAGGCAGCTTGGGAGCAGGTGCTTGAAAGAAGAATGGGGGTAGGGCAGATGTGGGTGTTTGGAGCTGGCAGATGGTTGTGGGTACTGGTCTGGGCCACAGTCATGGGGGAGGACAGGGCAGGGGGGTGGAGGAGGGTGAGAGGAAATGGAAGACAGGAAGGGAGGAGAGAGCAGTTTGGCAGAGCGTGGCCAAGAATTATGGAGGAACCAGGGCTGCGGGGCTAGCTGGGCAGCCTTGGTACCTGGGATTAGGGGTGTCTGGGCTGGTGGGGGCAGGCTGGGCCTGTGAGAGTGTGATGAGGTGGTGTGATAGAGGGGAGGGCAGTGGTTGAAAATTAGTTGGGGAGTCCTAGGGCATAAGCCAGAATAGGCTTCATATGAAGTGCCTTTTCCCCAATGTGTCTACCTGTCCCTCCTGGGCCACTGCCGCCTTTGGCAGGGGAGGTGCTGTCTATAAACACTTAGGTCCTGTTGTGAGTGGTGATTGGAGAAGGCACAGCCATGTCTGCTGAGGCCTGTTGCCATGGTACCATGGCGGCCCTTGTCTCCCTACTTTCTCCCATCTCTGAGCAACATGCCACCCCCTCAGGGAAAGGTTACACAGTGGGGAAGGTGTCTAACAGCCTCTTGCTCATGCACAGGCAGCTCAGGCTGGCAGTACAAAGGTCACTGAGTTCATCCCTCTGCCTATAGGCAAGGTCATACCCAGCCTAGGATGGGGAGGTATAGTAGCCACTCTCTTCATATACAATTATTTAAAGACTCCTCTGACCTCTGCAATTTGGGACTCCTTTTGTTTTTAATAAGTTTAGTATAGTAAACAACAAAAACAAGAATGCTAGCCCATCCATCTTCTCCCTTTTCCAGAGGGCATCTGTATGGAGCCAGAATGGCACGCTCTTCTTGCCCACACCTCTTTCAATGCTTTGGTGCTTCTCCAGTGGGAAATTCTGCCTCATGTCTGATCTTAGCCTGCTATGCTGCACTTTTTTTTTACCTCTGTTTGCCACAACCCTTCAGGACTTCCAGATAGTCATAAGGGGAGTTCTTTCCACCTGCTCAAGATGTGGAGCAGCTGTAGGGGCTCCCAAGGCAGGTAGGATGCCAAGGCAAGGATTGTGCTCTTGAGAACCTGACTTCAGACCAGGCTGTGCTGAGCTCTCTTTCCTGCCCATGCTTGGATCCTGGACTTGCAGCTTGCTCTTAGGGCCGGCTGGTGTCCTACCCCATTCCTTAGTTCAGATCCAGGGCTGTCAGCCTCCTTCCTGGATCATGCTGGGTGTGCTGGCGCTGGCTGGGCCTTGTCAGGTCTGGGTCAACAGATGGTATCAGGCATGAGCACCGGGGAACCTGTCGATTAGATGACTGCTAGTGAGCAAGAGCAGAGGGGAGCGACATGCGGTCAGGCACAGTGAAGTATGCCTGTCTGTGTGTGCGTATTTGTGCATGTGTGTTCCTGGAGGGTGTGTTGCTGGGTCTCTGTGTCTGGACATCTCTGTGTGTGGCTATGTATGGGTCCCCTGAACATGTCTCCGTGTGCACTTTTGGGTGCTCTGGCTTGTTCCTGTTCTTTGCTCTGGGTGTGTGTATTGACTGCCCATCGGGCGCTCTCCAGGGTCCTTGAGGGTGTGCCTGCTTGATGGCAGGTGATACTTTACTCCAACAGGATTTCCTGGCCCCCTGGAACCCCCGAGTCTTCTGCCCTTCCCAGTTCTGCCCTCTCTCCAGGCTTCCTCTCCCTATCCCTCTCTCTGCCTTGAGGAAACGGCTTCTCCCCCAGTGGCTGTGTGGGTGCCCACTGCCATTGGGGCGGGGCCTGAGGAGGGACCACCAGTCCAACCTCTAGCCCTATCCTTCGAGCTCTGATCTGGGGGTGGCGAGTGGGTGAGCCCTGGGTTGAGATGAGTCAGGGATGGCTGTAGGGCAGAAGCTGAGCTGTATATCAGCATGCTTCAGGGAAGTGTACAACCCCCACCCACTCAACCCACTCTCAGAAGCTTGGGCACCAGTGCAGCAGTGGGAAGGCTCCCCGACTGCTGCTATCCATGCTCTCTTCCCCCCATGGCTGGCATAGGTTCTGACAGGGAGCAGAGTAGTCTCTGGGGCTCTGGGAATCCCACTGGGGGCTTGGGCCTCAGCATAATTCCTGTCACTACGATTGTTCAAATTTATGGAGCTCTTCCTGTGCCAGGCCCTGGGCTGCATGCTATACATGTATTAGCTCATTGGCTTCTCAGAACAATCTTATGAGGTAAGTTCTGAAAGCGTCCCCATCTTATGAGGAAATGGAGGCTCAGAGAGGCTGGGTTACTTCTACGAGGTAACACAACTAGTAACTAGTGGAGCTGGAATGTGAACCCAGGTCTATTCTTGACACTTG